GGTTATTAGTCTGGGGGACCGTAGTGCGACGTGATTTTGGATTGGAAGTCATTTATTATATTTAGTCGCTGTCAAAAGTTTGTAAGCGCGATGTGTGCAAATTCTGATTAGCACCATCTTGTGACGACGTAAAGTAATCTGTCGATATAATGTGCTATTGTAAGCACGACGATGTAATTATCACCGAATCCAGAATCGCATTTAACAACCGTTAAATAAGATTATCTTTACTAATATTATAAAGCTGAAGAGTTTTTTGTTTGAACGCGCTAATCTCAGGAACTACTGGTTCGAATTGAAACAATATTTTTGTGTTGAATAGACCATTTATCGAAGATGGCTTCATATATCATCACGCTGCAACTATTAGGAGCGAAGAAATAATGGAAAACGCGGACGAAGTCGCTGGCGGCCACTAGTATATAGATATTTATTTTAACAAAAAACTAATGTTGAAAGACATTCATGCGGAATTGATATTAAATCATAAAGATATAACAAACAAAAATCACAAAGTATTAGTAGTTAAGATTGTGTCGAATTATCAAACGCCTTGATTCGGCATTGGAAGAAATAAAATATAACTTTGCTACAAGTTAACCTTGTCAAAAATCTACCATTGAATTGTGATTATTAAGTTCCTCGCGTCAGATAGCTGCGCTTCAAGGCAAAGGGAAGATAGCTATATCATAATTTTATTGGTTCACCATTATTCACCAATTAATTAATTGTTGCCTTATGAGTATACAATTTATTATCAAAAGCTTCATGCGGAATAAAGGTACGGTTATACAATGTATGCTCCATTATAATAAATAATATAATAAGAAATATTAGACAATATCACTTGTATTATTGAATTCTGAAACCATAAAAGTAATGTCACACTCAAAAAAATACTATCTACATTAAAAGAACCGGGAATCAAACTTAGAAACGATGACACCTTGATACCAGCGTGCGAATCACTCGGCCTTGGAGGTTGTCAAATATTTTTATATGATCACTAGCTTTCGCCAGCGGCTTCGCCCGCGTGGACCCTAGGGAAATGTTTAGTGGGATAAAAAGTATCCTATTATCTAAGTCAGCTAACACCCTATCTGTGTACCAAATTTCATCAAAATCCGTTCAGTAGTTTCGGCCTGATTGGCCGACAAACATCCAAACATCTAAACATACAAACAAAGAAACTTTCACATTTATAATATTAACAGGATTAAAAATAGCTACATTACTGACACAAGTTTTTAAATTAAGAACATTCATTAGAGCTTTAAGTCGTCTCTGGGGCACGGAAGTACCTCCGCCAAGTCGAGCAAATAAGTAAAAAGGGCACGGCCTTACTATCCTTTATTTTGAAGCCATTCAGGCCATTTTGACCCCCTGTAACTTCGTTGTGGAGTAAACTAGAATCCTAAATTTTCAGTGACCAAGAAGGCATCACATAACGAGGCATATTTCTGAATCTTCAACTTTAAGAATTATTGCAGTTTAAAATACCTTAATTTTGTCACTCACTGTTTCATAGATCATCAAAATTCTAAGGTACTTCTAGCAGACCCACGGGCTCCAAATTTTGGATACCTATAATTTTGCATAAGTAAGGAAAAATCTAACATATTTGCCAATTATTTGCATTTGCCAACTGTCCGTAAATCTACGACAAGGTTGGATAGCTGCTCTCATAGAAAGATAGGTACAAAATTAGTCGACGTTGATTTTCATAACTATTTACGGCAGAAAAATTCTGAGAACCAAGCAGAAAGCAGCGTTGTGAGACTTGTGTGCATTTTTTGTACACATTATGTTTTTGGAGGGCTCAAACCTTTTCTGCGACCGAGTGCTAAATACACAAAACAATTTTTGTTTTGTTTGTTAGTAGGCATGGATTTTTATTAAGTCGATACGAGACTATTCTTTTCGGAAATAAAAGCGTTCAACTTCTTACCAACGACTTTTACGGTCGAACAAACAAATTGATTTGCCGTCGAGCCATTGATTAGCTCGGAGGGGGATCGGCTCCAACTTTCCTATTTGTTACGATTCTTCTTGAAACTTTTGATATTGTCATTTAGTTTTGTATGTCTGATGATTTCGTTGTATGTGATTATACCATTTCCATTATCTCTACTATTCTACTCTTTATTTGAATATTGAGTAGGTTCCGAAATATGTAGACTGGTTTAAAAAAATCTTGAAGCTACCTTACACGCGGCTGACGTGGGCTATAACTAATGCGGGTTAAGTAAAAATAATAACTTTTTTATTAATACTTTGCTGCTGTTACTCTTCAATTTATAACAGTGTATCAGAATAATATCAAAGCTAAAATATGATTTATTTCAAAACTAATTAAACAATATTGTTGGTTATTTTTAGACTGAAACGAAAACGTAATGCAAGAAACTTATCAACTCTTTACAATAGTAACGATATTTACATAAACCTATGTCATTCCCAAATCAACGTCGATCTTAAATATATATAAACGTGCATTTCATAAGAACTAACGGTCTCATTGGAATAAATCTTGAATTCTTTATTATTGTTGGAATTTATTATTTTCTTCAAAATGCTTGAATTTTCGAGCTTACTTATCATTGGAATAAATATAAATTCATGTCTATGAAAGGCATAATTTACTCGGCAATAGAGCTTACGGCATTAGATAACATGGAACCCATCGTGCCGCTCCAGTGAGCCTTGGACAGATTTTACGAGCGTCTTGACATTGGCATTAATGGCTTTTCGCACGGCCATCTTAATTTGATGAACCCTCATATTGTGCATATTTTTGATACACGCTGAGACTCACATACGTAATTCGCGAAATGAGAAAATGTGTTAAACAGCCATCAAAAATGAGTTTAGACAATCATGCGTTGGCTTGACACATGGGCACATTGCACAGGTTAAGTATTTTTTGATTTTTGGATGAGTGATAGAAAATTTATTATCTCGGGTCCCTCGGTGCTATGGAATTTACAACACTGAAAAAATATGTAGATTTCTGATTTTGAATTACAGGATAATTCGACATCATTTCTCTTACAAAATAATTTGGAAATTGATTATTTTTAGAAATACTCTTTTTTTATAACACGAATCTGTACAGGGACCGCGAGTTGGGTTATGGCTTGTTTACACTTTGTAATTTTGCCTATATAGACGATACGCGGTCGGTTACTGTGGACCTCTTAAATACGCTCAAATTCATTCACAGGGAGATGAAGAGAGCTACGTTCTTTTTATTTATTACGAAATTAAGAATTTCTATGCGACTTCGTATCAAATATGAGGTGATTTGCAGAAGAACCAGGGTGACTAACATCGAGGCTACGATGCTCGCAAACTTGCGAGCCTCGAGTGGCAAGAAACTGTCAGAGCAGTAATTATATTTACGTTCAGCTGTCTCGTTATCAATTCAATGTAAATATTAATAAAATGAATAATGTTTCGATAATGCATATACAATTTCATAATGAATAGCCTATGTCCCTCGCGTTTAAAATAGGTCCAGTAGTTTTATGATATGTTTAGTGCAAACAAATATACAGTTTTTTTCTATTTATGTGATTAAAATAATATTAATATTAGTAATAATATTTTATATTGTCAAACTGTGTACAGTAGATGTTACATAAACAAGACAAATCCAAGTTGAAGCGTTTGGTGCTTTACATTATTTTGGGTTCAATAAACCTTTATGGCACAGTTGTTATGTTCTTAAGAACATATCTATTATAAAACAAGTATACTTCAAATATCAACAAATCTAACATTTACTGCTTACTGCTTTTGAAACTACTTTATATCCATGCAATATATGCGATTGTTGAGTCAGCATCATTAGTAGTTGAAGGTCAATCAATCGATATCTTTCAATCGACAAACAAACACGGCTCATGAATATTATAATCATAAATAATAAATAAATTTACATTTAAAGGAAATATATGTATATATTTTGAAAGTTTTGAATGTTATTTTGTAACGCGGATCAATTGTAATGTTATACCTGCATGGTGCTATACAATCCTATCATATAAATTTAATAGTCGTAAGGAATTTTGTTTTTAAGAGCAAAAAAGTACTGCACAAGCTTTAAAAAAGAAAAGAGTTTGTATCCGGACGTTGGTGACTATTTTTTGTCAATACACCTACTGTTTGTTCACAACTATAAAAATAAATAAAGACATTCCATAAATATGTCCATGGTAAAAATAAAAATTACCAATTAAAGCATTCAACATATCTGCTGGTGAAACAATAGCGAGAGGTTTGCCCATCAAACATGGATAACCGGAAAAATAAGGGTTTAAAATCGGCCAGCTCACCAGCTCTTTCTACATTTTATTTTTCTCGGAGAAAAACATTAATCCTCCAGATTGGATAAGTTCTTAACGCGTCATTGCAAAGCCTCTCCCTAAAAATAATCTACCTATTACTTTTGAGAGATTCACTAACCGCAATGAGTTTTAGACGGGTTTAGTTGTTTTTTTTTTAAATATTGTATTCAGCAGTCGAGCTCTTGGCTTATAAAAGAGTATGAAATTTAAGTGATTCCTTTTTTTAGGTTTACACAAAGAAATTTGAAAGTATTTTTTGCCTGAAGCAAAAGAACATTTGTAAAAATGAATAGGTGAAATTCGTTTTTATTTAGAAAGAGCTGTGTTTTTGATTTGATTAATTTTAAGCCCACGGTGCTTTTGGAGCTATATTTAATTTAGTCTCCCATCCTAATTTGGTAGCTAAAATCACGAATATCGACTGCGGAAATTGCCTTTAGGACAGGATTCGGTTCGCATCTCATTTGTAGTTATAACGTAATCTTAAGAAAAAATTATTATGAGCATATTTGACTTCATTTTAATTTATGTGTGTTTATTTATCCATTTAAGTTGACATTAAATGAAAATTAAACTTGTCCTTTTCATTGTTACAGATTCCTTGCTATATGGTGGCCATTAAAATGCCAAATCACCAAACGCCGAGCTAGGATGATGATCGTCTTCATCTGGATCTTCGCTGTACTAGTCACCACGCCCTGGGTTTTCTTCTTCGACCTCGTGGTGGTCTTCGAGGATAACCCCAACGTCCGTTTGTGCCTCGACGTGTGGCCCAACCCAATCAGCGAAGTTCTCTATTTCGTCATAGGAAATCTCATCTTCTGTTATATACTTCCCACAGTCCTTATCACAATGTGCTACATACTTATTTGGATCAAAGTTTGGAGGCGATCTATCCCAACGGATACTCAAGACGCCCAAATGGAGAGGATGCAGCAAAAATCTAAGGTTAAAGTTGTAAAAATGTTAGTGGCTGTCGTGATCCTCTTCGTATTATCATGGTTCCCACTTTACCTCATCTTTGCAAGAATAAAACTAGGAGGTCCAATCCAGAAATGGGAAGAAGACATGTTTCCTGTTGTAACACCATTAGCGCAATGGTTGGGCTCTTCAAATTCATGTATAAATCCTATACTGTACGCATTCTTCAACAAGAAATATAGAAAAGGCTTCGTCGCCATCATCAAGAGTAGGAAATGCTGCGGAAGGCTGCGTTACTACGAGACCATAGCGCTTCAGTCTTCAAGTACATCTACCAGGAAATCGTGGCATTATAACAACAACAATCATCCGTCGATCACCCGTAGGTCACCACCGGTCGACAAGAACGCAGTATCTTTCATATTCAATCATACCGGCGTGTAAGGTCAGACAGTGGTGTAACATTGGAACCGGTTCTTTGAGCTAAATGGCTCTGCATTTGCCATACGGCCCATGTTAGTGCCGCGCGACAACGCATCTCACCATATCGAAATATTACGATGTATTTTTATGATCGGAGGTATGTTTCTAATTTTGATGTTGTCTCGTTCAAGAACCAAGTTTTTGATCTACGTGACATTGATCATAGTAACAATTTAAGTGAACATAATCCGTGGATGTTTTTCCTAGTATGGTGATGTGTAACTTTTATACGTAAGATGGTTAATGTGTTGTAAGAAAATTTTATTTTTACACTGATTGTAATACTGTTTAGTGATCAAGTGGGGAACGCACATAGCGCACAAAGGTTTTAAAAGCAAATGGTGTTATTTTAGTTTTTTTTGTAAGTTTTCACAGACCTTTGATTTACAAAATTTGAATGGTTAAGATAAAAAAAAATGTTAAATCCCAAAAAAATATATATTATATACTTACACAAATAATACTACAGTACAAAAGTAATAGTAGGTGATAAGCTTATCAAATATTAAAATTAAATGACATGTATAATTACAAAATATACGACTTCATCACTTATAATTAGTCACAATTTTTTTTTAAATCTAAACATTTGATAAATAGAAAACGTTTTTATGTAGTTATCCAATGCTTAAGCAGTAAACAATATAGCAACAACAGTAAACAGTTCTTAGTATTGTTTGGATTTTTACGTGTTTTATTGCAATTTACTGAATTAATTGTGTCTCGCCATTTTGCTATTCAAAAAAGCTAAGTCTGATGATTTGAACAAATCAGAAAATTGAATTCATATCTTGATAGACATAATAATTTTGATTAATATTTCCTTATAGGTTAGGTTTAAGTAGTGAGAGCAATAGTGAAAACGAACGAAGCGTTTTTATCTTACTTTTAAATAATTAGATTTATAATAGGACTCGTTTTTACGTATTATACATTTTTAAAACTTTAATATTTTATTTATATTTTAGTAAAAACATTATTATTTTAATCTATCGTCCATCAGATATTTTATAGTGTAATTGAAATAAATATATCATTCGATATTTATCTACTTTTGTATGTCATAGAGAATCTTTAGGTTTAGATTGCTGAACTAATTATAATTAAATTATATCGACCACGGTCGGAAGCCGCTTAATGTGCACAAAATAAGTAATGATAATAACGTATAATAGTATTTATTAAAAACTCAGATAGTATGATTTGAGAAATATTAATAAGGTACGCAACCTTGTTGTTGTCAAAATCATTTACTATAAGAAATCACAGTCTCAATATTATATGTTACCGTCAGACAACGAAGAACCCAAAACAATTTTTATTATAACTTTAACAATAAATGAGATACCAAAGTCAAAGTTTCAGGTATTGCAGTCGTAAATTACATTATATGAGCACTAATGATCGCAGACCATAAAATTTAACGGTATTAATTTTGGTCATTCACATATTCTTGAATTATTTCTCTTCTGTGCGATTATGCTGCATGAAAAAAAGTTTTTTTTATATAATATAAATCTAACATAAGTGTGGTGAAAATATCAGTTTATTATTTGTACATTTTTTTTTCTCATACAAATGATATAATTACAAATAGAAATGAAAAAAAAAAAATAGGGGTAACTTTGTGATGTTTTTCTATCGAGATAATTTAACAAATTCACCTTTTAGCTATGACAGAACCTTTACAAATATGACGTAGGGTTTTTATTTACACAGATTATTATGATGTTATTTCTGTGTTCAAAACGAGTCGAAAGTTATATTTTTTTGGTTAAAGCGCCGTCTTAATGACATTCAAACTAATATTGTTGTGTGTTCTTCGAATAAATATTACAATAAACCACAACTAAAGGAATATTTATATTTCTCAAACATATTAGAAAGTTAACTAACTATATTAAGATTGTAGCGTAATTATAACTAGAAGAAATCAAACACAACTTGTTACTGATTAATCTACAAAAATATTAAGAACGTCTTGAAAAAATATTTTTCTACTATGGACTTCTAATTATTATAAAAATAATCGTTTATTGTTTTCAGCCGTAGCTAATGAATTATAATTTTGCATTTAATAAAAATAATGTGCGAAAAAGGAAGACATCAAGCTTGCAAGACTGAAGATTTTTCAAAAATATGATCCTTATAAAGGAAATATTTGCATGATAAGTAGAAGCGTGTAAGTAAATATTTTTGTAGATAAATGCTTTTGGCTTTTTATATAACTTCTAATATTTTTTTTACTGGCAACAATAGCTAGCAATAAAATAATAGGAAACTTTTGTATTTATGTGGATTAATGTGATTAGTCCATGATATTACTAAAATGTTTACCTACAATTTCTTAATTGTACTAAGATCGTTTGGCATTTGAAAAAAAAAAAAAATTGTATCTATAACCTGGAAGCTTCCACATATAGAAACTCTTGTATCTGAGCTAACGACAAGTAGGACAGGACAGCGCTTAACTAAAAAAACGCTTAATATTAAGAATCGCCTAGGCAGATTTTATGAATTCCAAATAAGCCAATTATTTTAATTTTTTTGACATAGTTGTGATCTGTCACGTTACATAAGTAAACGATGTCATTAGGTGACTCCTTGATTTGTAATTATACTAATATTATAAAGAAGAAATTTAATTGTTTGTTTGCTACGCAACCACTGGAAATTTTTTTGCCAATAAAAACATATTTTCATTTAATTTCATTACAATTCTTGCTCTCATATGCAGTCAAAAGATTGATGTGAACAAATAACGTTGGACAGCGAAAAATTCTGGCACAAATTATGGTATATATTGCAATTACTATATTGAACCAAACAAAATAATATTGCAACTTATTAATTAATTGTAAATTTAATGTTAGGTACTTTGTGCTATGATGATTGATCTTAAATCAATGTGAATAGATTTCTTTTTTGTTTATTTATTTGTTTTTTTTTTTAACAATTTGTATACAAAAGAGGTAAAACTTTGTAAAAAAAATAGCATTAAATAAAAATGTAAATAATACGAATACTTTTATTCTACAAATTCGTGTATATTAAAAGTTTATGTATATTTACACATCAAAAGAAAAAAATGTTTGTATATTCATGGATATATATAAATACTACATATTTGTATGAGGTTTGTTTTTGTTATGAAATTCATAGTGTAAATAAATATAAAGTGATTTATATTTCACTTGTAAAAGTTTGCTTATATTCATGTTAATTTACATTGTCAATGGCATTTCTGTAACATACTGCTGTTATTATTTTGCTATGTTTGATGTTAGAAATAGGATCTTATTATATAATGTATATATTAAATATTATCCGTATAGTAAAATAATACAGTGAGACCTGAGAATGGACATTAAAAATTAATTTATAAAAATAATAGTAATATTTAGAACAGTTTCGTATGCAAATTATTCTTCTGAAAATTCTGTAATAAAACATATGTTTGATGTTAACAATATTATTAGTTACATCTTGGTGATAATGTATACATTTTAAAAATAATAATTGTGTAATAAAATAATAATACTATTGCAGTAATAGTAAAAGTAATTGCTTGTAGTATAGCAGTTTGTTAGATTTTTGTATAAACTGTATTATATTAAGTAATAAAAATATGATAATATTCTAGTAGATTGATGTTATAAGCATTCATTAGGACTTTATAAGGTAGACAAGCTTTTATTAGTGAAACTGATATGATTATGAGAGACATTTGAAATATATCGATTTTAGAACGATAATTTAATACGGGATTTGGTAACGGAATTTATATCCTTTTTCACGAGTTCCAGAATTTTCGGCGCTGTTACAAGTGTCACTATTAACAGTGGTACGTCTATCGAACTTGATGAGATCAATACAGGGTAGATGGCCCGGTTTTGAGCATTTTCAAGATTATGAGCTAGGTTTTGCCGCTTTGAGAATTACGACGAATTGAACTTTGATACATCATCAGCTTTTAACGCAATTCGTTTTGCCATAATGAAACGTTTCGGGAACCGTTCACGGTAAATTAATATATTTGTCTATGCGTTAGTAAGAACGCTTTGGAGTTCCAAATGGCCAAAACGGGGGCTGTGCCGAAAATCGGATCATCTACCCTATCTGGCGTACCCTTCCTAATCATTGCATTTGCAATAGTACCCAAACATCGGGAACTATAGAAATATATAGCACATGGTAGCAATCCCGTATTATAAAATCATTCTGATGTTAGTGATCACGAAAGTTTAAAAAATATATATATCGCTGTTATCTCATAGACTCAAATAGAACTTTTGGTAAATTCAAAGAGCTTTTGGTAATACAAATTATATGTCGAATATAGTACCATCAACAAAATATCAACATAATATATGTCTATTACAGAGCAACTAACATTGCATAATTTAGTTACTTCTTAAAACAGATATCACAAATTTCTACATTTGTGATATCTGTTTTAAGAAAGTGACATTAGTAAGAAAAAAATGAAATATCATCATATATCTTTCATGTCAACAACAAAGGAAATTCTATCTTTCTAATCGGCAATGGCTTACGGCCGGTTTACGAGTTGAGAAAAGCACAGATCATAACGGAACTTAAGTTTATTACGATTCTCATGACATAAAGTCCTAGTCTTAACAGACTACTATCACTGATCATTAAAAAAAATCACAAACTGAAAAGTTCTTTAAGTGACGTTTAAAATGATTAACTTTGAATTCTTAATTCAGAAACCGAGTGTTAATCTTTCATTACACAGTTCCATAGCATATGAACGTATCAAGCACGAAAACTAACGATAGGGTCTATTATAAACTACAGATTATACCCATATATAAGAAAGATTTAAATGTTTTTTTTTTGCATCAAGTAGACTTCAAAACTACTGGACCAATTATAAACATTCGTTCACCTAAGGAAAGCTACATCATACATACTTTTGGGTGAAATAAGCTATA